CTTGACAGGTATGGCCTGCGGCCGGTGGCAGCGGTCGCGCTAAAGGTCAGTTGACGTCAGAGGGCAGGACGGACCGTGCCGAGCATTGCGGCACGTAAAGCTTTCGCAACTAAATTCTGTCGTTGCCTGGAACTGCGCGATCGGATGGTGGGGGTCAGGGCTCACACAACAATTACTGCTTAGCGTGAGCGCTGATCCCAGAAATCCATCCATTCAAAGGATTCGGACCAAATTTATAAAAAAAATTTCATTTGCCCCGCTGAACGTTACCGACTCGTTGTCCGTCCTCAGCGCTGTGGAAAGTAGAGGAAGCACCTCTTATGCTAGAAGTAACGAACTACAGCTGTGTGCTGCTTTGAATACCCGGGCGTAGCGGACTTTACGGAAATGAGACAGCAGATAATCAGGCGAAAGCAGCCACTCATTCCATCGAAGAGGTGCAGGCTAAGGTTGGTGACCAGGAATATCTGCCATATCTACGCACCTGTTGTCAAACGCCGTTTAGCAACGAGTGAACTGAATATAACCGACGAACCGCCCTAAAAGAAATGAAAGACGTCGCAGAATATTGGGAATCTAGTGAAAGGAGCACCGGTCACGAGGAAATAGCACTGTGTCGGCTTCATATAGGTCATACAAGGCTCACTCATTCCTGAATCCTAGACCGAGATTCCAGCCCAAAATGTGATGACTCAGTGAGTATTGACTGCGCGTCACAGTCAGTTCCAATCTGGGTAACATTGGGAAAGCACTGTGTCACCACTGATCTGTGACATCAGCACTGATGTAGTGTAATTTGTAGTACATTTTTGTCACCTGCTGAAAACTATCCTGATTAAAGCTACGACGTTTGGCAGCATCTTACAGCTCAACTTGCTCATAAAGCGAAACGTCAACGCTTCGACATGTACTCTGCACATGCTCACGCTGCAAGCGTTGGCGAGTACAGATTTACATCATTAACGTATTTAGCAGTACGTTTCTGGTTGGCATGAGTCGTTTGCCACGGAATAAAAAAGTCCTTAAACTGTGGCACAAATCACTATTTAGCATATAACAACCGCTTGCACGCTTGCTTCGCTGCGCTAAGTGAAAAATTTGGAAATTTTAAACGTGTATGCTTTGATGTTTAAATCACGGTTTTATGTGCCCTGGTTGCCGAAATATCGCGCAAAGCGCGAATAAGACTCGGCCACGGGCCGCGCGGTGTGGACTACCTGGGGCGGCTGCCGACAGGAGAGAGCGCCTTTCGCCTGCGCTCTATGCAACACGGTCGAACCTGTTCCATGGGATGAGCGAATGATCGTGGGACGTGGCCGGGGATTTATGACCCTTCTACCAACTGCCAGCATTTTTAATGTTGGCGGCACGCACTGCCGTTGTAGTAAACAACATTGTATTGTATTGAACAGTGAAAAACGGTCGGTAGCAGCCAAATCAGTTTTCCTGGCTCGCGCACACGGGGCGCTACAATCTAGAGCACGTGATTGTCCATTCGATTCCCCATCAGTGCAAGCTACTCCCGAGTGCGCCCCGTGCCCTGGGTGCAGAGATGTGGCACGAAGCGTGTAGAACTATGGAAAGGAGCAAAATCCATCATCCTGAGTAAAAGCCATCCATCATCACGGTGTTGGTGTTCTTGCCAAGATGTAGCACAAAATGTAAGAAGCGGCCGGTAACGGCCAAATTCATCTTGCCGACTCGTGCACGCGCTACACGCAGCACGTGTGACATGGCAATTCATGCAACATTATTGTCTGTTCGATTTCTTATCAATACATGCCACTCCCCAGTGGCTCCGTGCCCTGGGTGCCAAGATGAAATCACGCATACTTTTGACGGTAACGGCTGGTATATAAGGCACCAGCATCTGGCAATACGTCCTACAACTTGCAGCGTAACGGTGCGTTGCACAAACTCGCGATGCGACTGAAAGTGTACCTACGACAATTATGAATGTTGGGAAACCAAATCCACGCCTGTACGCGCACGGCGACCGCTACACGCAGCGCGCCGTCAACCACCATGCCTGAGCCGAGGCCGCGCCTACTAACAACCCCCCCCCCCCCCTCCCTCTCGATCCACAGCCGGACGGACCGGACGCACGCCAGAATGCCCGTTCTTTAACACGCGCTCGGGTGGGGGAACAAATTGACCCCCCGAAGATTTTTCCAGAATGGTTCAAAACGGCGCGGCGTAGCCGCAGCAAATTTTGCATATCTGTAGACAATTAAACAGCGGATCGTTTGACATAAAAATTAGATGTATCCTGTAAGGTCGCTGACCTATGGCTGGCCAAAGTCAGGCCATGGTTTCAGCGAAGGCGATTTCTAGGGAATCGTTCAATCTGATACGACAACGGAGTGTTTGACGAAGCCATACATCTCTGAGGTGCTTTCTTAGGCACCACAAACATTGAATGAGCAGATCACGTTGACCCAAGGTCAGGCATTGCAACTTGCAGCGCAACAGTACGTTGCACACTCGCGATGCAACTGGAAGTGAAGCGGTCTCAATTGTTAATGCGGGGAAACAACATTTAGGCCTCTAGGGGCCTTGCGTGCCGAGATATACCGGTAAATGTAAAAACCCGTCAAAAACGGCTGGTTTCTCCTTGCCAACACGTGTACACGTACCACGTGCCACGTGGCACAACAAACCCAAGTGCGATGACCCATTCCACGCTCTATCACACTGCGCAAGTTTCGTGTCGCTGCGACCCTTGGTTATCGAGATACGGCTCCGGGTGTGATGATGATGATGACTTCGGGTTTTAGGGCGCATCGACTGCTGTAGGTCATGCAGCGCCCGATACGGCTCCGGGAAGCGGAGGGAGTTGGGTCGTCGGCTGGTCGTCTTGAAACTGGCGTCGCCCATGGTTAGGCTAGGGGATTTTTGCGTTCTTTTATTGCTCGGCATGCGCTCATTTTTGCAAAATGTGGAATTTTGACGCGACTCTGTCACGCGCCGCCAGCAGACCTCGGTCGTGTGAAAATCTCATGGCAAAATTCCCGACCGTTTAGCCTGCAGGTGATCCCAATGAAATGGTGGACACATGCACACCTTGTACCTTCCGTAATATAGAGACGAAGGTTCAGGGGCGTGCCTGCCCCGTGTAACTGCATCTGACAACGGGACCTAATTCCGAAATACAGTCGTCGAGCAAATTTTCCGTATTTTCATCATTTAGCACATTTGCATTTCAGTCTATCATCAGCAGGCAAACGGCAAGCGCGAGCAATTTAACCGTGTCCAAAGCAGGTTAGCGAAAATCGTCAGTCCCTCCCAAAGATAATGCACCACCAAAATCCCCGCTATGATTTCCGCATATAGGACACCGAAAAACCATAGTACTAAATAAGGTCATTTTCCGTTATGCATGGTCGCGGTCCAGTTCTTCCCATGGACACGCGTCTCTCTACAAACCTCAAATATCAAGGAGATGAGCATGTTCCCACGATGCTGGAAAATCTTCATCGATCTTATCACAAGTTCGGCATAACCTGGCCTTAAGCCACGTGAAAAAATGCACTATGGTCAAAATGAAAAACCAGCTAAGATTCAAGTTGCCGACATGGCGTATCTGAGGGATCCCTCGTTGTTGTAAGCTCTTCATCAAAACTAACGTTTGACAGGAAACATTTTCATTGCGTAGTAAAATCCATTAATGATGTCACGCTCCTAATTAAAAACTTATTGACAGGTGATACAACAGCAGGCCAATTTCAAAACATGCGTTTGGATGATCCAGACAGTCTATGGCAAAACGTGTCCAGTGAGCCTGGTCACATCACTCAAAAGGATGCAGAAATCGTGCATTCCCCCGTGTTCAAGCGTTTAGAGGGTCAAAATTAGCCACAGACTTTGAATCTTCCTTTATACGCAAAGATCTATTTCCGCTTGTATCAGCTCCCAGTTGCAATTCTGAACCTAGTGCTTAAATATCTCCAAAATCCAAAAGTCGGGTGTCATTTTGCCCACATGAAAACGATGAAGATGTCATCCAATTATGATATATTTCTTATTGACTGAAGGATGAAGATGAGGAGAACATGCCTCTTTCTGAATCGGCAGAACATCTTCAAAAAAACAAAAACAAAAAACAAAATCGAGCCAATGAAGAGGCCTCAACCAGAATCGGATTCTCAGGATGGGACACCTGGTACAAAATAATCACGAGGCGAGAGGATATAATTCGCGGAAAACGAATGAGAGAGGCAAGTTCTGGCAAAGTGTGCCCGCCGGACAAAATCATTTGTCGCGAGTCGGACACAAAAGCGTCAGATATCGATATAATTTAGGCGTTTGACACACCAAAGGTTGGCATTTAGAAAGATAGCAAGGTATATTTGTTTAAATACATGTTACCAACACGGAACAAAGTCGTTGCGCAGTTACGACAAGGACAAAAACATAGGTTTTTAGCATTGTAAATCCACCGGCAGGCGAAGCGTACAGTGAACACGCTCGCGAAAATGCACGTAACGAGGATAACGTTTTATCACATCATCTGTTGCTATCACTCTGAGTCTGTCCATGAGCAGAGACATTTTAACATTCGCAATTGTTAGCCGCTGCGTGCGCGCAGCGACTAACTCTCATCACCAACACATCATTCACTCAATCTGCGAGCATAAGTATTTAAATGTCAGCCGGCGTTCGGCCACAGCCGGTGTGCAGTAAGGAACAATTTACAGTAATCATCCAGTACTATAAGCTACACACGATGCAGATTCAAATGCTCGTCCTCACGATGCAGGCTCAAATGTTCGTTCGTCAGCTGTTCAAATGTGATCAACTGACTCAACTGGAGCGACCATAGTGTCCGCCGCTGCGAGCGCAGGTGCTCAGCCAGCACCCGCCCACCGTGCCTCCCCACACCGACCGGCCGCCGAGCCTCCCACACCGCCCGGCAGCCGAGCCGTGCCGCGCCGCGCCAGCATTCCTCACCGGGTCGCCGCACACCTGGTGAACCCGACTGAACTGTCGTCATAAAAGGCTTGTGCCAGGACATAGCCATGCAGCTCAGGCTGTGCACTGACACCTGGTCTGTGCTGAAGCCATGACGGGTGCAAGCCTGCGATGAAAAGTGTGTCAAGTTGTTACAATGTACCACTCAATGCAACAGTTTCATGATTAGTAAATGTGCTGGATATTATGTCTCGATACCACTTGTGCGTTGATTAGTATGTAAATGTATTTCATTTCGGCATACCGCAGTGGAACAGGAGCTATAGCTTTTAAACTATTTACACTGATACACCACGCAACTGGCTCCACGGTGTCAAGCGGTCCGCGCTCGCCGCAGCCTGCTATCGAGCGCAACGGGCGTCACCGTCCGCCTAGGAAGTTTGAATGCGAATAAAGATAGTGCGAGTTTTACATCGTAATGATGTTATTTTAAGATTAACTACGATGAAAGAATATCCTGTAGTGTTTTACCTGGCCTTCATGACTGGATACCAACTGTGTGGTTGTCATAAGTCTGTGTTGCAATTCCCACTCATGTTTTGCCCGCATTGAAGAATGAGAACGATGAAAATTTTGAACATTTATTAAAAATCTCATCAAAAGGACCTGGCGATGTGATGCATCAAAGCTACATCTCACGACAGTAAATTTCCAGATTTCTAAAACTTCCAGCTATCTAAAGACATAATGTCTCCGGAATCCTTAAATAAAAGTCTCTAGAACGAAAAAAACGCTAGAAGACATTTAAACTTGAGAGGGACCTCACTCACCACACACCATCTGTTCCGTCAGTGCCTGAACTAGACCCGGTTTCCGTAATGTGATCCGATACTTCCTTTAAAACGCCGCCTTCAGAGCCTCACCAGCCTCAGTTGCATTAGATAGTTCTGGGATCGCAACGCGATGTCCTACCTTGTGACTGGCTTACCTGACCATTCTACAATGTCGTACTCGCTTCTCACTGGTCACCTGTGCCATCATTTCAGGAACCTGTGACCATGAATCGTTTCCCATGTACACAGTATATAAGGGGTACGGTTAAAGACCAAGAATGTTCACACGCTCCCTGGGCTCGCAGAAGCAATGCTGCTGCTGATTGTGCACGTGGGCATGGCAGCGCGAGAACAGCGATGTCTACACTACTCTTTCACGCCAGCAGTGAGAAATCTGAGACAACATTGATATCCAGTGTTATATTTCTGGCTGATGGTTCTGGAATGGATAGGAAATGTTTCCAAGGCGAGGATAAAGGCTTATGCGTCTGTATGTTGGAATTTATTGAAAATCATGAAGCTCTATTTCACGCATCGTGGTAACAGACAGAGGCTATAGCTGCGTCTTTAACAGCACAGCAATTCTCAAATTCAGATAGCTTAGTTCGAAGCATAAAAAGAGTGTACAATCCCATAGCAAAGCGGTGCAGTAATTTTTTTGTGAATGGACCGAGCCCCGCCACCCCGACGTGCTCACCGGTTTTTAAGCCTGAAGGCCTTAAGCCCGCTGTTCCAGTCACTTGGGCACTAAGGCCCGCGTCCTGATATCACCGGGACTTTTGGCATGACCAGCAAATGGTACATTTGTGCGAATGAAACTTCCGAACAAAGCTGTGTGGTGGATATTCCGCATTGCATTTCACTTCTCCTTGTCATGTATCGCCTTAGAGCTGTATCGCACCGGTTTCTGATAGATTTACCTTCAGGTGACAATTTAGACTGCTCCAAATTCGTCGGAGACAGAGAAGACACGTTCCGCACCACTGGCACACTCACAGATTGCGGATTACATGACGCCAAGCAGGGATAGCGTGGCATAATGTGGTTGACAATGGAAGCTGATTGTTCAGCACCTCCGCGTGTGCATCGAGGGCCGTGACCGACGAGTGCAACTCGCAGCGTGCAGTGCTGGGGCAGGTTTTGGGTGTTATTCGGTTCGGACCGTGTTATTGCACATAAACTAACCCTGAAGTGGACAAGCCACCCATCACGTTTGACTGCAACAGTAATTGTGACGTCGGCAGAGCGGCAGCATGCAGCTCATCATAAAGTTATCCGCCTCCGGGCGCCAAGGAGCCTCGTAAAGCCTTTCAGGTGTCGTCACAGCTCAGATGACCCCCTCTGTCTCTGAGTGTAACTGATCTCCCCTAGGTCGAGGAGTTAGAGCTCTCAGCGCGGGTCCGGTACGTGACGTGGAACGGCTCCGGCTGCAGCAGCGCCGCGTACTGGCCGTCCGACGGCAGCGCCTCTCCCGGCACCGCCTCGAACGAGAAGCGCTGCATCAGGCAGACGAACAGCAGGAAGAGCTCAGCTCGCGCCAGCTGCTCGCCCAGGCACGAGCGGCGGCCGACGCCAAACGGCATGAGCCGCGGGTCGCGGCGCGCCGCGCCCGACTCGTCCAGGAAGCGCTCCGGCCGGAAGCGCTCCGGATCGCCCCAGTAGGCCGCGTCCATGTGCACGTCGTGGAGGCTCATCATGACGACGGCGCCGCGCGGGATCAGGTAGCCGCGGAAGCGCACGTCCCGCGTGGCGGCGTGCGGCACAGCGCGCGGCACGACCGCGGCGCGGCGCGTCACCTCCATCAGCACGGCGTCCGTGTAGGGCAGCGCGAGGCGGTCTGCACCGGCCGGCGCGCGGCCGCCGAGCACGGCGTCGACCTCGCGCTGCACGCGGCGCTGCACCTCTGGGTGCTTCACCATGAAGAGCAGCGCCCAGCTCAGAGAGGTGGACGTCGTCTCCATGCCGGCGAGCAGGAAGTCCATGCCAATAACGACCAGATTGAGCTCGTTGAAGCCGCGTTCAGCGGCGTCCCCCGTCTCCATTTCCAGCAGGAAGCGGTCGATGTAATCGCGCGGATCGCGCGGGTCCAGCGTGGCGCGGTGCTGGCGCACCAGGCGCTGGAACATGGCCAGCGCGGCGTCCCGTTGCTGCACGAGCGCGTTGTACCCGCTGAGGCCGGGCGCCACGTGGCGCAGCCACGGTGCTATCATCAGCAAGTTGCGCGGCCCCAACTCCGCGATTGAGTCATTCACGAGGCGCACGTGTTCCATGGATTGCGGGTCGGCCGGGTCCAGCCGCTCGCTCGCCACCATCTTCCACAGCACGTTCAGAACGGTCAGGTTGAAGCGATTATTTACCAGCATCGGCTTCCCGACGTCGCGCTCCATTTCCGCGTGTAGGTGCTCGAACTCGGCCAGGATGCTGTCCTCCATTGAGCTCCTGCCCAGACCCAGGTCTTTCAGATGCCGCAGTGCGAACCTCCTGCCTTCCTGCCACACCACCCCGTCGTTGAAGATTATCCCCAGTTTCTGCATAAAGCTGCGCACCAGAAAGGAGAACGTCTCGGGTCTGCCGCTGAGCTCGGGCATGCTGCACGCCTCCTTGATGTCCTCGAAGGCGCAGATGTTGACGATGAATTGCCCGCCAGGGCTGACGACGCCGTTGATGTCGCCGTACCGTCGCCGGCGGTCGAGCAGCACCTCGCGGACGTCTCCGAACAGCAATTCTAGCGTCGTCCGGATGTCGCCGAAGATGAGGAAGGTGGGAGGACCGGGGGGGAAGCCGGACGGACGGCGCGGTCTCCGCGCCCACAGCCAGCCGAGCGCGGCCGCCAGCAGCAGCAACAGCGGCCAGGAGAGCATGGCCCGCCCCGTTCAAGGACGAATGCTTGTTGCCTGGCGGCGCGGCGCGTCGGCCACCGACGCGAGCGGCTCTGTCGCGGGAGGCCGGACCACTATCTCCGGCACGCGGCGGGCAATATCACGGCTCCGAAGTCCCGACGAGGGGCATCGCTACACGGCGTTCGCGGCAGCACCGGTACGACGACTCGCGGACGGCCGCACCACCGTTTGCACGACTCGCGTGCGGTAAACACTCCCTGCCCAGCCGCCGGCGCCGGTTCCGCGGCGACACTGCGCGAACGTTCACCGCTGCCGGCCAATGACCTTGAACGCGTTCGGGGGGGGGGGGGGGCACCGCTGCTGGACGCCGGGACCGGTCTCAATCAGAGTAAACTCAGCTGGGTGTGGATTCCGATAAGCCGGGAAGAGCAACATACGCCTTGCCATTCGTGTCATTCGCAAGGCTGGTCAGTTCTCAATAAGATAGTTCTACACGGGCGCCCAGAGCCCGGCAGCAGCTCAACTCAAGCAAATGCTCATGTCGTCAAGCCCATATTGCTGTCAGGGATGTTTTCGCCTGCGGCGTGCCGCCGTCCAGGCGCCTGGACTGGCACCGGACGAAAAAGGCAGGAAAAGGCTAGAGAGTGGCCAACCGTTGTGATGACCGCTGCCATGACATAAATGAATGGAGCCAGACACTTTTGGGGACCGACAGCAGTGGGTTTGATCCGCGACTTACGAGACATGAAAGTGAAAATCAGTCATGCAAATTTGGCTAGTGAATTGATTGACGTTCATTGTACACACAACGTTCACTGTTCACATTGCAATGTTACCTCACAAAAACATGGCTCGGAAATATGGTTGCCATTATTATGAGTGGGTTCAGTAATTTTAACGAATGCAGTTCATGCGCTTACACTAACATGGGATTCATGTCATCACTACGGTGACTTATCCTCCAGTCGGGAGGGTCCTATCTGCAGAGACGATTCCAAGATCTTGATAACTCGCGCCGCCGTGCGGTATCACAATCAGTTGTATCTCGATACATCAGACGTCCGAAAGTTTCAGTGATTGAGTGAAACATGAAACTGGCGCTCTCGCTGATGCACTTTCAATGCATGTTGAAATATAACCTAATGCGCACTTAAACGCATGCTTGAGGCCGAGATGTACCGGACCCTTGCCATGGCCATTTCAACTACAGCCCCCTGTGCCTTGTAACGTCGCTGACCTATGGGCAGGTCAATGTCAAGCCATGACTGTCAGTGAGGCCAAGAAAGATACTCACTGGGGGAAAGATACTTTTGCCCCCGCCTTAAAAGATGGGTAGGGCAGTTTGCCTCCGCTGCCTCCTCCCCCTTTCCCACGGATACGCTGCCACTGCTTGGACGTCAAGCTGAAGTGCACGAGCGTATTCTCCGTGGGCTCGCGGCTCCCGAACACCACGGCGAAGTGTCGCCGGTCAGGCACGGATTAAACGCACCCTGGCGCGCGAGTCCATGCACTGGGTAACGGCGTGGTGGAATCCGCGAGGCACTCATGACCCCAGTGCGGCGGTGACTATCAGTCTGTCCCTCGCCACTTGAGAGTCGTGCACTTCTTGTAAGCCGGCACCGAAAAAGACTTTTCTCGCAGCGGGCACCCTTTTCATCGAGCGAGCAATAACCCCAGTCTCCGTCCCTCAAAACAAGGACATAAAAGTGTCCATCAGCCGACGCTCCGACCGTCTGCACACATTCCGCTGGTTGTGCTACAGATATTCGCACTGCCAGAGCGTTGGCCGGTAATTGGCCAGCGTAGATCCCATAAATGGCGCGGTTCATTCCGAATCCACATCAAACGTTTCGGAGTTATAACCTCCGGCGGTTCTGTGTCGCATTGCATTAGGTGCAGTTTCAACAGCAATTCACCTACGAACGGAAACCAATGGAAACCAATGGAAACGAGGAGAATATACACCATAAAAACGATATCGGTACGCTATTACAAATAAAGGCATTTGTGCAAATGTATTGGCTAAATTTGCGTAGTTTCATTCGTCACAGTAGATAAGTTTGCTATCGAGAACTCACGCAACGCGACAATGAAATGCCGGAGGCCATGAATCCGACACTTTTGAGCTGAGATGCTTGATTTTACGAAGGCTATTGACCGCTATTGGGTACCCGTGTGACCAAGTTACGTGCAAGTCCAACAGATGAGCGTGTAAGGCACGCTTTGATCTGTCCTGGAACGCGTGGTACCTGCCATCCTGCTTTTGACTTTATCCCTAGTTCATATTTTCGCAGCTGCGATTCCACGACCAAACTGGATACCACAATACTCTTTTATGGCTCTCTGTTTGCAGTGAAGTTTTGCATTCCAAGGAAATATAACGTCAAATTACGCCGCCGATAACTGGGCACACCGAGTGTCTACCGGTCAGGGTCACCGAGTATCTACCGGTCAGGGTCACCGAGTATCTACCGGTCAGGGTCACTGAGTATCTACCGGTCAGGGTCACCGAGTATCTGCTTCGGCCACTCCGGATTTGCGTTCATTCCGAACTCTCGAAAAGACGGATAAACCTGCCTCCGCTTGTGTCGGATGAAGGCTGGGAGGGTGAAAGGTTGCACCGCAAGTTAACTAAATCATTTTTGTACGTTTAGAGTTCGGCCCATGCAACGTTCAGAGTCGATTAACACGCACACGAAAGGCCGGCTGAATGCGAGGCGCTCGGGTGGTAGCCCAATTTGACCACACTAAGATCTCCAAAACCAAAAGCTTAAGATACACAGTTCACAGGGCACGTATACCTATATGGAGACTCGCGCGCTTTGAATTTTTATATTTTTGAATTATGAAATTCAGGTAAAATTAGTCTAACAATGCCAAATCCCAGATCGATGCCGCCCCGTCATGCAACTACAGGTACCCTAGATACCTGATCTAAGCAAAAGGTCACTGGCTTGACCATAACAAGGTCAAGATGTTCAAAAATATACGAGATTGTTCTGACTTTTCAATAGAACTGAGCAAGAAGGATTACGCCATGTGGAATGGCTTAAAAGCAAAAGGTTCATCGGAATAATTTGAGATTAATCACCACCTCTAACCTTCACAAGCTCAAAATAAGATGTCTGTTCACGTCCCTGCGACAAAGGAATTGTCTTAAAAACGGCAATCAATCTGTCTAGTGCAAAAGTGGCTTGGTTATTACCTTGATCTGAAATGTTATGGTATGGTATGACATGTTGTGGTGTTGGTATGCTCCTAAAATAAGGAGTTCATCTAGAATATTTTGGACAGGTGACCTCTGGCCTTCAAAGGCCGAACAAAGATGTCTGCTGGCGTCCCTGTGATGGCAAAATTTAAAAACTCCATTAATAAAGTTTTTAAGTGCAAAAGTAGTTTGATTATTAGCTTGTTCTAACCTTTATATTTGACCCAAGGTCAGGGAAGAAAACGCTCTTTTAAATTCAGTTTTCCGCTTCTATAAGGCACTATTTCAGAGGTGTATGGAAAACGTGGTAATAGGGGTTTATTGCAACATCTACTTCGTACACCACTATACGTATATCACTGACTTGTTTGGAAACATTTATGGATGTTTACTCCTATCGCTCAACTGATCAAGAGAGCCTTTTCGTTCGGCGCACGGTCTTGCCAATTTCAGCGCAAAGAGAGACAATATTTCGATGAGCTGTGATGCTAAGAAATAAATTTACGCAAAGTTACCCCCAAATATTTTTGGAACTCAAGTATTTTGAAAATTCCCTCTTAAGGGTATGTTCCACGTTTTCAGATGCTGGAGGAAGCATCAGATAAGATGAAATAGCTCACGTATAATTATTGTCATACTTTTGAGTGGGAAAGATTGCTCAAGACTACGCGGTTTCTCTATTTAGTAAATGTGCTGCTTAGTACGAAATTTTTTGACTGCTTCACCCTGCCTTGCACAACATTGGTTGAAAGCCAATCGACAGTCATTATATCAGGCGCAATTTCCAGCACACAAAAGCGCGCGCTTACTGTAATTACTTATGGACCCAGACCTCACTTATGGCCTTGTCCATCAATCTCTATCGTGTATTACACATGCAGGACATGTACATCAAATGTCTGTGAATTGCAGGACAGAGAGGCACCAGGGGAAATGAGCAGGCTGACCAATTAACTAAGGTAGCTTTAACAGCCCCTTAACCATGACCAATGGAGATCCTTACATCAAAGGGATTCCTATTGATTATGCATCTACGAAATCTTCGAGTCGCGCACTGACAAAACATTTTGAGCTACGGCAATAGACCGACACAACCGGAGCACAACTTCATAATATCCAGACCCGACATCACCCCTTGGCCATCAACGTGCCGTAAAGGCCGTTTAGAAGGCAAGGTGTTGGCCCGTTTACGAATTGGACGCACTACACTCACACAGTAGCACATGTAACTAACTTTGTCACCCTCGTCCCCACTGTCAGCCATGTGATCAGTCACTTTCGGTTAAACATGTTGCTGAGTGTACCAAACATCAACAACGGCGCAAATATATGTAGGCATATTGTCGTAGACATAGTACCGAATTCTCTTTTTTAAAAGTTCCTAGCGATGACCGCCCTCAATTGTTAATATTTTCTTCAACCTCCTCAGATTCACTGGTTTGCTTCAAGCGAGGTAAAAGTTAATAGGCGTTTTCGTTACGCACAGAACTACACTAATCTGAAATGACATCTTCCAGACGGGAAATGGCCCGAACACGCCTCAAACAAATATCATGGAAAATGGAAATGGACAGCGCCGCCAGAGGGGCAAGGAGAGATCGCCCCTTCCCATTTGCCAAGAGATGTAGATCTAGCCCCTGGTGGCTATGCTTGCATTTCTCCCTGTCCGTTTTCTGCAGTTTGGGACACAGCGCGCGGAAGCCGATCCCTGAAATCGTCAAACTTGTTTGTCTTATGACACTGCCCGCCAGTTCAGCTACACCTGAATGCAGTTTCAGCGTGTCACAGGGACTGAAAGATAGCTTTGCTTCATGGTGGCACAGATGAGAATCAACGCAGCTGCAGTGAGATACGTGCCTGCCTTCACCCGGATGAAGTAGATCCAGTTCATGCCGCAGTGGCTTTTGCCAGCCTGAGCGCATCACATAAAAGAGGCTAGGTTCGCTCAGGACCGCACCATAAACGGCGTTGGCGCAGACATGGAAGGAGTGAAGGAGTATGAGCTCTGTGATCCTTAAGCAGCGTATCGTTGGGATACCTTATCGACACCGTTATAAATGACC